ATTTTTGGACAGAAAATGACTAAACTGAAATTATTCCTCAAGAGGTAAATAAATTGCACTCAACAACTCTGCAGAGGAAGAAAGATGAGATTACTCAGACCCAACTATTATCTTAAATGTCCATGCCACTGTTAAAGACCAAATAGCAGCTCTAAAACAATTTGAAAGGAATACCCTGGCAAATCTTGTTGTCAAATGTAATTAGGTAACAAACTTGCATTTTGAGAAGTTAACTTAACTCGAAAGATAGCGCTCCCCCACCCACATAATCAGGATGCAAAGGCTTTGCAGACACATTCAATAAGCTACTATCAGGACAGTCTGTCCGGACAGACCTGATGACTTGAACTATCTTCTTTTCAGGGCAACCATCTTCTGCAAATTACTTTATTCACTCAGTATGCTTTTCAAGCAACTAAACGCAACCAGATTCTGCATATTGGGTCATGAAGTAGTTAAGCACAGTTGTATCCCTTCACTCCTGCATTGCATAAGCACCAAGTTACTAAGAAGGATTGCATTTGCCACTTCGATTTGCTGCTTGCATGAGCCCCAAGTGAAAAACGAGGGCATTAAGAACTACCTAGAAACACAAAGAACTGAATAGCAGACAACAGCCAAATGTTTCCTTACAGCACCGAGAGCAAAACTACTTCCAGAACAAAGACTTATTTGAATACCAGTACATAGTAACAGATGACAAGATGCGGAATAGCTATTTTCATAATTACTCTAAATGTTAGTAAAAAAAACATGTAAGTATCACAAACAGTTTAAGCAAGCATAATATATTTTCAAGAAATAAACTCACAGGCTTTAAAACAAATCAGACTTAATCCATGCCCAATTAAAATACTTCTCGGCTAAAAGCATCATTAAATACCTAATATTTTAACTTACAGTTAACATAAATAAGTAATATTATTTCATAGTCCACAAACAGGAATCTGAGGTGTGCAAAGATGAGAGAGATCATCCAACCACTTGAGACATCTCTTGACCCAAGTGCCTTCTCCGATGAATAGCAGCAACATCTTGGACCAGACCCTCCAAAGCCCTGAGCTACCGAGCTCAGCACCGTGGTGCACAAGCAAGAGACAGCGGCTGATCACAACATCCAGAGTCAAAACGCAAACTCACACGCAAGAATGCCAGAAGTAGTGTTTCCCCAAACTGAAATAGCCAGGGTAGGAAAAGTAGTTATACAATTTGAAACATAGTCATACACTAATATAACTATGAAATGCCACACCATCTTTTAAAATTCATCAAGCTTTGATTTGAATTTTCATCTGAAAAATTGTACCATGTTCATTTCAACACACAAGCTAACATAAATAGTCTAAGAACAAAGGTATTAGAATTTTTTTTCAAACTAGCACCTCACAATTTGCTCTGCAAGGCTGTAAGTGTTATTATATTAAAGCTTGTGTGCAGGTGAATTTAGTGAAATACTATTTGGGTTTATGCCTTACAGAAAAAGCTTAACAGTTTAAAAAACAAATAAAAACTCACCAAGGTGTTTCAGAAATCCAAGTAAATATTGCTCTGTGGGTTTTCACCTTATCCTACTGTAAGACTCTCTCATAAAAAAAAGCTTGCCTTCTAAGTTATTGCATTTTTGCTTGATATGAATTACCAGTATATTTTTCCAATGACACATCTTACTTTCTAGCTACCGAGTCCTCCTACCTTAACAAAAGCGACCTAACAGTAACTATTAATACTGAATACTCTTTTGCTATTTCTAATTTACCTGAACTCCTACTGTCTGTAATTTACCTGTTACATACAGGATTACTCATGAACATTCTTCCAACAGTATTAAGTCTTGATCAAGCAACATTAGGGTAAGATTATGAGTAGCCTTCCATATTAAGAGCTTCTCAAAGCCTTTAAAATGAGATTGTTACAAGCACTAGCTCAAGATATCTAAAAAAAAAAAGGGGGGGGGGCAGGGAAGACCAGTAAGTCATACCATTTTATTTAAAAGATACAGATCCTTGACTGTGTTACACAGATGCAGAACTATTAAAACAACCCAAAACCCAGACTGGTTTTAATACCAAACATTTACTGACATTGCGTTGCCTTGATTTTAATGTCCAAAGAAATGGACATTGAGGCAGAGTAATACATTTGGAACAGAATTAGGAGGCTGAACTGTAGCTCCTAGCTTGCCCATGGCCATGTTAAGTCACAGTTTTCACCTTATTCTAATTCTTAGTCTTATTTCACCTAGATTAAGAATTAAGATACAATGATGGCACACGCTATCAGGAAGTCCTGAGACCTTAATTCATGCACTGTCTAGGCAGTATCAGGACAAGGACTAGCAAACTGCACTTCAAACAAGTTAACAAGCACTTTCCTGAACATGTGTACCAATATAGCCTAGTTTCCAATACCTAGAGGTACACCGTCGTATGTGGGTTAAGGTTGAGCTCACATTGAGGTCTCTCTCATGCTGGGAATATTAATACTGCTCTATCTGCTTGCCCATTCCCCTCCCCCGCCTCTCCTTCCTCTTCAGGAATCGTAGTGCTTGCCATCTCGAGGATCTATCAGCCCTTTGAACAAATCTGGTTGAACCTGGTGGAGTTCAAGAGTCACAAGGAAGGGGAAAATGATTATGGGGAGGGTGAGGACATGTAGGCAGTAGAAGTACATACGCTGTACCTTAGGAGACCACGCAACAAGAAACAACCTTGTTATTGTTACTGCCCCAAGCTCCCTCTTCCCCCATACCCCCACCCCCAAATTAATAAAATTAACCCTCTTCAGTTCTGAAAGATAGCCTCATACCAAACTTTACTTAACAGTCAATATAACAAAGCTGCCTTTGAAATACCTACATTTACACTGGCTAACTATACCACTATCTCCAATTACTCAATGTTCTGAGTGACGTACTCGGAGACAATTTTTATTTGTTTTGGATCACTCTACACACAAGCATAATAGCTGCTTAAACCATCCAAGTTTCATTTACACTAACTGTCCAAAACAAACCCTATCACCAAAACTACAGTCTTGGTTTCCTTACCCTTATTTAAAGACCCTCCTAGGATGTTTTGCGAAGATTCGTTCTCAGTTGAATTTCATGTCTGAAGAAAGCTACGAAATGGGGTTTTATCTTCATTTGACAAGGTGTAAACAGAATGTAATAATATCATCAGATCAAGATCCACCTTGTCCTTTGCTACTTCTGGCTCAAGTGCAGTCGGTAACAAGTACTTCAGCAAAGCACGCAAGAACAGAATTCCTTCAGTAAACTGCTGTAAGTAACCTCCCCCTCTGCATCCAGACCACCACCACACTCAGCAGCCACTGATGGACTTACCCCCCAAGATTCATCAGCTTCCTTCCTTTTAGACCTGTATATATTTATGATATATATAGTATTTATTGTCTAACAAGGAGTTCTAGAATTTAAATAAGTGTCAAATTAAAAAGTTTTTCTGCGCTAACTATTGTATTTTACTATTTTCCATACTACTGGAACCAGGGAGCACTGATGAAACTGCTGAAGTCTGTTCTTCTTGGCCTTTCATGCACTATGAATTTTCAGAGCTCTATCACATTTTCTGCCCACAGCTCTCACATTTTCTTCTCCAACCTGAAAAATACTGTTCTAACAAAGCTTTTCTACATGGAAACCATTTCACTGTGAAACCTGCTCTGCTACAATCTCTCATTAGCAACCAAGGAAACTCATTACTATTCTTCTTGTAAATATTGAGGGATGAATCTACTCAATCTCTTATGAAAACTATATTCAAACTCAGCAAAACATGAGTTGTGTTTCCAGACTGAAGGTGGATCACACTTACAGATAAATAAACGGCAGAAAACCATATGAAACCAAGAAATATTTCAGCAGCAAAAATAAGACCAAGGTCAAAAGACAACTACATGACCCACCAATGTGTCTGTCAAACCACAGTTCAAATAAACATTTCTTGTATTTGTTTTTCTTGTATTAAAATCACTAATAAAATTATCTTGCAAATAACTGAGCTATGCGTATCTTCTGCTATTCAGTGTCTTCGTCCACTGTATTACAACCGAACAAGTCCACCCAAATCTCGGATCCCAGGGTTAAGTTAACTATATCTGAGAATTCAAAGTTACACAAGTTCTTCTCGTTAAAGTTGATTAGGATAACCCAGAGCAAGTCAGTAGGTGTCATCTTCATCAAGGTTCACTGTATGTGATCTTCTGCCCAATTTTAGAAGCTGCAGTTTAATCAGCCCATTATATGAAAACTTCTGAGATATAACAACATCTGATCTTGCCTGAGAACGACTTGAACAAAACAACAGCGATGTTCAGCTCCATGGGGTTTGTGAATTCCCTCTCCAAAGTACTAAGATATCTTACAAACACTTCAGAGCCTGAAAACAGCCCCTAAAAGACATTTGACAGAATTGTTTCATAGGTCTGAAGCTTTTTATGTACACATTGATAAAGATGTGTTAATTAAAAGAAATAATACACCTTTGTGCAACTGAAGTTCAGAAAACTACTTTTTCCATCCAAATAGTTAAATAAGGCACGTTGTAAACTGTACCTGCACGGTAGCAACCACGTACCCGCCGCACTAAATTAAAGCCAGCAACATAAGAATAAAGCATTCTATTATTACCAATTCATCACTGTTCAAAATACTATGTGATAAAAACCACAAATACACTGAGCTCAGAACAAATTTTAGAAAAGGAACAAGGTGGACTAACATACTATGTTGAATCTAAAGCACTCTATCTCAATTTGCAGACGTAACGATTAGAGTGCCAAGGATCTCAGACCAACGTGTAAAATGCAGAATGCTTCCTGTATTTTTGGTTAAATAGCCCACCCTTTACAATTTCTAACAATTAAGAGTTAACTGCCCACAGTTTTATTGGAACATTTAGCCAACCCTTGAAAACACAAAGTCTAAATGTAGATTAGTAAAAATCAGAGGATAACAGATCTGGACAGTTAAGCAAATGTACCTGCAGTTACAAGTTTAGCACTGCTGCCTTTGCATTCTCCATCTTCCACGTTTTTGCTCGTGCTCTTTTCTTTCAAGAGAGGAACAGTATTGTCAACAGATATGCACTTGCCGGATGCAACGTCTTCTCCGCTGTCTGGCTGATTAATTCTGCTGTTAGCTTCAAGTAGAGGAGTGAAGTCCTCAGACTGAGCAGCTTCACCGGGTTCCAGCTGAGAGGAGCTTTTAGCCTGCGACACATTCTTTGAAGACACAGGAAGAGACTCTTCATCACTGTCAAATCCAAATGGATCCTCTGTTATCTCATCTTCAACTTTGGGTTTTTTAGGAACTTCGGAAATATCTGGTTTGACACTGGGTCTCTTCTGTCCTAATTTGGCCATGAAGGTGGTTTCTCCCCATTTGGTACTAAGGGTGGTCCGTTTGTTGGAAAATACTTCGTCAAACTTGGAACTGCCGTTTCCCCCTTTCCGGCTGTAAGTCTTTCCAAATCGGGAGGTCATTTTGGCTCCTGTTTCATATTCTCTGCCGGAAAAGAAAGAAGAAACACAAATTCACCAACTTTTTAGTACAAATGGTTGTACTTCCATCCTTCATTGGGCCTACAAGCACCAGGCACGTACATTTCACAGGAACAACAGATCCATCCTCTGCTTCTTTCTACAGACTAACTCATTTACATGTGAATATCATTATGTCAAAAGTTTCTGCAATAAGTAATGTATCTACCAACTCAACATGAAATTCAGTTACTTGCACATTTATAAGACAATGGCACAACGGATCCTTAAGAAAAATCTGCTATGAATACATTATTTTTGGTATTGCTTTGCTCTAATTTTATATTTTCAAGTATAGATGGCACTGCTTTCATGAAACATCAGCAGAAAACTACACAAGATTTTCACCACATCTGAACATGCAGCTCTCTGCTAGAGTCCAATAACACACTAGGGCTTTAAAAAGACTCTTTGTACTTAAATAAAAAAACCTGTCACAATATTTCAAGTCACTATAGATATTTTAAATACTAATTAATCACAAATAATGATGACAACTTCACCCCATGTTCTTCTTGCACACTCAGGCTTACTTAGCCAACTTATTATTTGGTAATACCATGTGGTTTATGCCATCTGCACAGTCACGGTCAATACCGGTATACAGCAATCCCCCATGAGTAAATTTGATTGATCAAGGGACAGGAACAGAGAGCCGCTTCTCAATCCCTTTCTAAGAACATGGAGGACACCTTAGGCAGACCAGCATAAACCATGACTGTTTACCGGCTGTTACAACTGTAGCCTGATTGACAGTTTGCTCTCTGAGGAATAAAGTTTAAACGTGAACAGATTAAACAGGAACACATTTAAACAGTTCCCGGTGTGTGTTCTATTCCTACTTTTGTTTAACTCAAGGAGGAAGACAGACCGCTTCGTTTCTTTCTCCCAAAACAAATACTACTAGTGGACAAAGGACAACATAAACCCAAAACAATCGTATCTGTTTTGTAAACCAGCATTTCTCTTTGCCCAAACATGGATAGGAAATTGGAATTCTTTATAGTCAGTCTAAATCTAATCAAGTCCATCCTGCTCTCCGAAATTACTCTCCATACTGGAGAAAAGTCTGTTAAAAAAAGGGGGGCATTTATTTAAGCTACAGAATCAAAGAAATCCAACTTTTCAAGTGTTAGCTGTCTTCAAATATAACAAAGGGTATGCCAAATAGCACCTAATATCATCATTAATAAACTTATAACGTGATCTATTTGTTCAAGACAACTGTTTTTATTTTTATTCCCCTGAATACGTGGTCTTTCTTCTGTATTTTAGTTTTCATCTCCACACTCACAGTTTCTTAACCTGAAGTGTTAGAATAACTTCTGCCAAAATCGCCAGACTGGTCATTCTATCACTTCGCTCTAGCAAGACTGTCTCACTAACAATAGCCTCCCTTTATCAGACCAGGCCAACCTTCACTTATGATATGAACTGAGCAATTCATGGCGTCATCTACGTTTGAGCAAATTTTAAGCGAATTAAAAGCATCAGATTTGAATATCAGAAGTTTACCAGACAGATGGTGTTGCAATGCAGAAGAGATACAGGAACAACCACTTTGGGAAACACTCTTCTCCCCAGCAGTTTAGCAGATGGATGGTAAAGACACATGCTTATCTACTGACCAGAATTCTGCTGTGAAACACCATTCTGCAGACCGCTTCTGGTCGCTCCTAGTAGATGTTACTCTTTAACCCCATCTCCATTCTCTTTTTCCCCCACTGTGTCATCAGCCTACTCCGTGCTGGCTCCAAGCACATCGCTGCCAAATTTTTTCTTTTTTTGCTCCCCTGTAAGTAGCTCTAATCTCCTATTTTCCAGCCAAGAGTGAAACTAAAACTTCCCCACATACTTTAGAAAATGAACAGCAAAACAAATCCAACTTACTAGTTTTATTTTGCTGATGCTTGAAAATACTTGTAAGAATCACTGAAATGTTTTATACCAGAAAGGCCAGTTTTTAGAGCTATAGAAACGACAGTGAAATATTAACATCCCAGTTTCTAGACAACTCTGACAGAAAAAGAATAAAATCACTTCACTCACCACCAGCACATTTTCCTCCCCTAAACCCTGACTCAAGAAAGTATTTCCAACGCTACACTTTACAGCATCTGCAAAAATAACAGCAGATTTAAATTACGACTTGTGGCTTGCAGTTTTAAAGAGAAGATTCCTGTAGTCAAGAGGACTTCATTTCCAGAAAGTAGAGCTCCTCCATCTACATTTTCCTATTTCTAAGTTTAAAAATCAAGATCATCTCATACGGAGTTTTGAATCAGAATGTCAAAACTCAAATAAACACTCCATACGACATAAACTGGTTAAAAGATGAGTATCAGGAAAATATAAATACGCTACCCTATAAACTCATATCTCAGACTGAGATTAAAGATAAGGAAATATATATGTACCTCCTTACAGGACAACATCAACGGAGCAGGGTTTTTACTCTTTACTTACAATTCTCCCTTGCTTTTCACTCAGTGTGAAATCAAAAACTTGGCCGATTTCACTCTGTTTCCACTCCCTGCCTCTCTCTCCCGCATTGTGCTGCAATATTTGGAGCAGTGCAAGAAATGTAAATAGAAGCAAAAAACCAAAACATCGTCCTCCCGCATTTCCCCGAGCTAAACTCGGCGGACCAGCTAGACATAAAAAACCCGGTAATTCCCCAGAAAGCCCGTCAGCCATCCCGGCTCATTGCTCCTCTCTACACCGTTCCTCTTACATAATCGAAGGAAAGAAAAATAGGTTAAATGCACGGAGGCAGAAGCAGCTGATGAAATCCCACGGTGACAGTTTCTTTTTTTTCCTCCCTCCCCCTGCGGCGGGGGGGGAGGGGGGTGCTAGCGGAA